CCCCCCCCTCACCAGGCCCAGGTCCAGCCCAGTCCCAGGGGAGGCTGCAGCCCTCGCCCCAACCTAGCCCAGCCCCTGTCCCCAGCTTGCCCAGCCTCCGGAGGGGGGGGCTGTCACCTATCTCCTTTGCCTCATGCTCCAGCTTGCTCAGGTTTCGGCTGATGAGGACGATGTTGAGGCCTCTCCGGGAGAGCTGCGGGGAATTTAATTTGCTTACTCATTAATTCCACGGATATGTGCTGCGCGCTGGCTGCCGAGGTGAACGAAGGAGAAAAACGAAGGCTGCTCTCAGGAACATGCCTTCTGGGGAAAGAGCATTCCGGGCAGAAGGAACAGCAAGTGCAAAGGCCCCGCACAAAGGTGGCAGCCTGGAGGGAGGCACCGGGCCGCGAGCACTGAGCGAAGCGACCAGTTGTGGAGCAGCTCATGAGTTGGGCAAGGAACCAGACAGGGCCTCAAATGCCCCCCGTAAGGACTTTGGCTTTTGTTCTCGGTGATATAAAAAGTCAGTCATTCGCCGGGCTGGTGTTGCTCAGCGGCTGAGCGTCGACCCCATGCACCAGTAGGTTACCAGCTCGATTCCCGGTCAGGGCACATGCACGGGCTGCTGGCCCGGCTCCCAGCAGGAGGCAGCGGATGGATGTTTCTGTATCTCTCTCTCTTCCTCTCCCTTCCTCTCTCTTTAAAAAATCAATAAAAATGTGGTTTTTTTAAAAACATATCTTTATTGATTTCAGAGAGAGGAAAGGAGCGGGAGAGAGAGAGATAGAAACATCAATGATGAGAGAGTCATTGATCGGCTGCCTAGCCTGCAACCCGGGCCTGTGCCCTGACCGGGAATCGAACCCCAATCTCCTGGATCCTAGGTCACTGCTCAACTGCTGAGCTACACCCCGCTGGGCAAAACGTATTTTTTTAAAAAAAGTTCAATCATTCAAGTGTTCGCTCCTTTCTTCATTCATACATTTATTCGAAATGTGTTTACTGGCACCTGATCTTTGCTGGGTGGTGCTGGGGACTCAGCACTCAGGTGCCCGTGACAGACTCAGTCTCACCCCTCCACCCACCTGGGGGCTGTTTCTAAGGCACAAACCTGCCCCTCCCTCTGCTGCTCAGAACCTGCCTTGAGCCCTGGCTGATGTGGCTCAGTTGGTTGGAGTGTCATCCCACACACCAAAAGGTGGTGGGTTCCCGGTCAGGGCACATACTCAGGTTGTGGGTTCGATCCCCGGTTGGAGTGTGTATGGGAGGCAGCTGACCAATGTTTCTCTTTCACATCCATGTTTCTCTCCCCCCCCTTCCTCGCTCTCTCCCTTTCTCTCTCTAAAATAAATAAATAAATAAATGGCATTGAGATGTTGATGATGCTGAAATGTTTATCTCCACGTGGACATTCCCTCTGTACTCCAGAACACCCCCCCAACTGCATACTTCTCAACCTGGACGCCTGATTGGTATCTCAAACTTAAAATGGCCCAAACTAAACTCCTGTCTGTCTCCCAGCAACCTGTTCCTCCCTCAGTTCAACCCCATCTCAGTAACTGCAGCTCCATTCTTTGAGGTGCTCTGGTAAAAAATCTTGTAGTAATTTATTTTATGAGGCCAGCATTACTCTCGTACCAAAACCCAAAGATATTACAGGAAAAAAAACACTACAAACCAATATCTCTCATAAACTTGGATACAAAGACCCTCAACAACAACATACTGGTAAATCAAACCCAGCAATATATATATATATATA